CACTGTCTTGAAATCTTGAAGCACAATATTGTCCTAGTTCAGCTTAACTGCGTATCTTATAAAGTTCACTTTTTCCCCTCTGCAAAATGCTAAAAAATAAGTCTATTCCAGACTGATCAAGTGTCCACATACTAGAGGAAAAGAGGAGCTCTTGATCTTCTCCTTTGTTACTCTGACTCTCAAGCCTCACTGTTTAGACATTCATTTCAGACAACCAGCAACTACAGCAAAGTATACTCACCAGAGGAATACTGAAATACTAATTCAGAACCGCTGCTGAACAATTATGGTTTTTATTCAGTCTTTTGGATGCAGAAAAGCTAACAAACAGGACATATGGCAAGCTGCCATCGACTGGTTAGAGCAGACAGGTTTGGGAAATATGCCTTTGCTAACAATAACCAAGGGAGAAGCCATCATGTGTCCTATGTACCTACTTCTCCTTGAGAAATTTGGGTATTTTGCCAATCCACTCATGGCCAGGCACAGGTATGCAGTGGGAAGCCAAAAGAAAAGGAAGCAGAGTAAAAATGGAAGTTGCAAAAGCCACTTAGGAAACACTGCTCACTCACACCACCACTATATCAGGGTTATAGCCTGGCACACCTCCCTATTTTACTGAGCCCTGCTTTGCCTATTTGAAAGGGGAAACAGCCAACTGACTAGTCATTATCTTTATACGTGCTAAGGAAAGTACCCTAAAGGCAATTCAGCAGCAGTAAAGTATATACCAGTACACTAAAAGTGACATGCTAATTGCAAACACCAGTGACACTGGAACACCATAACTTTGATCTCTCTCCATTTGTAGACACTAGAACTTGTGCTTCTATATCAAATTTAATTTTCTGTAACTAAAACAAGCCAGGTCAGGTATCTTTGAGTTACTGCTCTTAATATTTACTTAGAGGGAATACTACATGGCTCTACACCAAACCAGCTGACAAACCTAGCAACATTTCCATAAAAGCTTGAGATGGCACTTCTGTACAAGTCATTCACCCCAGGAAAGTGCCATGCAGTAGCTCATTGCAAGCTTCTGTTTCTAGCTTAAATTAAATGTCTAACACTGCCTGAGGAATGGATTGCCTTACAAAGAGGCACAGAAAAAAAACACATGTTAATATTTAACCAGAATTTTTTTATATAACCAGTGATTGTCATGCGTATTTTACACATATTCAAGTGCTACAAACTTGAATGATGTGCCCATTCTTACATGCATCTTTCAACAAATATGAATCAGATTTGCTAAGCACACCATGTTTGTGATCCTCTGATTACTGCTGCTGGCTCAGCAAAGTGAAGTGCATACATACTATAAAAGTCGTCAAGGAGAGCCTAAGATATCTAAATCTAAAAAGGACTGCTTTCAGCATGATCTATAGCCAACAAGATGATTCAGTCCGCAAAAATGGTTTTATTAACCTCAGGTTAGAAAAGTGAAACTGTTATAAATAATTAAGTAGTTGCTGGCTTTTGCTATTGTGTTTTGGCTTTGCAAATTATTATTAACAATTTTGATATAGTACAGTTTGTAATCACATTTAACTGCTTTTGACATAGTATAATTTGTCAGCTTTTTGTGGCCAATGCTCTGGCTCCTATGTAGCTTGTATTCTCAGAACATCATTTATAGATTATATTTTAGTTTGTGAACAGTATGATAAACATATATTATAGTTTTAGCTTTCACTAAATCTTAACTTTAACAGAAGTAGCTGCAGCTGTGAAATAACTAAGGCTTCTGTTTTTGTAACTAACTGACAATAATGAAAATAATTCAGATATATTTGTAAAATAGCTAATGTTGATTGAAAGTACTTGTAGAAATAACTAAAACTGCCTGCATGGTCAGGTAACATTCAAGGAATGGATGTGATAAGGATTCCTGCCACTGACCATTTGGCTATTGATAACTGTGCCTGCTGAAAACATGAAATGAAGGCCATGGTGAGGAAGTGACACAAGACTCTCAAAAAGACAATACACATTACTGTGTGTACTCTAAAAAGCAAGCCAAGGGTTGAACCAAGGTAAAGAATTCTCAGAACATGTAAATGAGTTTAAAGAAATATTTGAATATATATAATTTTTATGAATATGTATTTGACCAATACAATGGGAAAGGTCTATAAGAAGAGTTGTTGCAAATAACAGTGCTGGGTGCCTCTAGCTACAGCTATGCACCCAGCACTGTTTACTGTCCCTTTTACCCCTTATTTGACCTTTAAAATAATTCTTAAAGAATGAGTCTCATTTCTCACAGAAACCTTACTGAAACTAAACATAACTTATGGGCACTTTACTCTTTTAGACATCAATCTTAAATTCATTGGTTTATATTCCTGATAAGGCAAGTATGTATTGTAACACTTATTACCACTGAAAAATAAAAACTAATTACTGTTTTTCTCTCATGCCCCCATGTTATAACATAGTAGGCACATGCAAACAGTTGGAATCATCAGACTTACATGAAACAGTACTGGAACATAATATGCAATGTATTTGTCTAAAACATTCTCAGCCTCCAACTATAAAACTTATGGCTTTCCAGAAATACAGGCTGCTTTCTTGATCTTAGTCTTCCAGAAGTTCCTGCAAAGTGGTGTTTTCAACCCACTCTGAACCAAACATACACATGCCAGCACTATAAAGAACTTACACAGCTACAGCTTGTTCCTTAATCTTCATGTGGGAAAAAATCAACTACTTCAAATGTTTCTTCTTCCAGTTTTACTGTTAAGGAGGAAATGGAAGCACAGATAGATTACCTAAATTCTGTACCATTTCCAAAGTATACTTCAGAAGCTTCCATCTTACACCCATCTGTTCAACACACACACACTCTATTTTAGAAAAAGGAGTCTAATCTACCCGAGGATGCTCCATACTGAAACTATTTTATACTTTTGATTAATAAAAAAATCGTAAGAAAAAATGAGAAGGAAGAAGATAACCAATCACAAAATATAATATGAATAACGGAAGCACACAAGGGATTTCCACACTATTCTCGTTGTTTGCAATGAAATAATAAAACATTAGATTTCTTTTTTTGACTGTACAATCATGCGTGAATCTTTAAAAACATTCAAATGCAACCTCAAGTTTTACTACTATAGAGGAATAATAAGTTCAATTCAGAACATGATTTTACATGCAACACTACAACTCTCCTGTTTTCATTCTTCTTTTACATTTCTACCTGCCTATTTAATCTATGCAAACGAAAGTAGGTGGTATTAGGTGTGCCACTAATAATTTTGTCAACTGATGCAGAAATTACTCTGGGTTACAGCTTGAGAGACTACTGACCTCTTCCAGCTTCTTGTAAAATCTTCCTGCAATCCACCTCTCTCCTCTTAGTGGGCTATTAAGTGAAAGGTTAATGCCCTTGGGCACTTGGCCTCTGTGTGGGCACAGGGCCTAAGATCATCAGAAACCCTGGAAGATTTACTGGATCACTGCATTGAGATCATACACCTCTACAGGACAATATCCTACTTTAAACTATCCTACCCTTCTTTGACCACTTGCTAACTTCTTGTTTACAGCTTCCTGTGCATGCCAAAGCCTCATCTGATAGCCTGAGCCCCACAAGCAAGTACATGCTCAAGTGAGCACTTCAAGGCAAGCTCTGACCAAACAGGAGAGCCCTCTCTTATCACTCTGTTGCAGCAGTAACAGAAAAGGGGATCATGTCAATAGTAGGAAATACAAACCTAATAGCTGATCAGTTAAGAGATGACAAAAAAAAAATCTTGCTTCCAATATAGAAGTCTGAGATGCCAAAACACAGGGAAGAATACAAAGTAAGCAATCACTATGCCATTGCTCCCCCAATCTCTTCTCGTACACAAAAACCTATTATTTTGTTTAAGCTAACTCCTGTTTTTCCAGCATCCCCAAAACCCAGAAAGACTGTTTCAGGGCCATTTCAGTCATCACAACCAATTCAAATTTGTTCCACACTCCTCTTAACACTTAAGAAGCACTTTAAGACTCCCGAAGAAGTTAAACTAAATACTTGGAGTTGGCTGGCACTAGCTCTGGGACATAGCAGCTTCTCTAAGAAGCCACCCCTGTATCCCCTGCCACACATACTCAGTGTATTGCTCTACTGCCTATCCATGCATTTGCTCCTCTACCACCAACAGCCATTCACATTTCATCGTCTTCCTATGGCTACTGAAAAATACCATGCATGCTACTGGAAAATTATATGGAACACATGCCAGAAAAGCAAAGGAGCACACAGAACAGTAAGCACAACTACACACATCTACTTAAAAACTACACAGAGACAGATGTTTTAACTAAGATGGTATATAGAATTTCTGGAAAAAGAGGTCTCTGTAAAGGTAATGTCACTCAAGCCATCCAAATTATTCTGAACATACTTCTAACATTTCAAGTAGCACTCAACCACTGAGTTTATAGCACTGAAGTCTGAAGTGTCAGAGGCTTTATTCTTGTTTACACAGTATCTTGCTGCAATTGAACTGGCAGATAAGTACCCAAGATTTAAAAAATCTTAATAACGAGAAAAATTGATAGAGTGATTTTAATATTCCTGCATATATTTAAATGGATGCACAGTTTTTATTTGCTTTCATGCCACAGCTAAAACATTTCCTTTGCTATTCTAAAACAAATCCTTTGCTATCCAATTTCTAAGGCAGATTTCAAATTTTTCTCTTTGTTGGGATGCAAACATTTTAGAAACAAATAGAAGCCAATTGACACAGAAAAAAAAAGACAATCTCCCATGAGCAGAAACAACCACACATTTAGGCATTTATCCATACATTAATATAACAAGCTTTCACAAACTGGAAAAAAACCCAGGGTCTAGACAGGATTTAATGTTTATAATTCATTACAATAAATTTATTCTAGGAGAAGCACAAAAACTGCAGCAGCATTACCAAACTCATTACTCCAGGTTAACAAATATGTTATACAACCAAGTAGACAAGGTTAGTCAGACTCACCTTCCCTCATTGATTTTTGCTTTGTCTCCATGGCAAGTGAAGTTCTCAATGTAGCCCAGGCTGCAGTTTATCCGTGTCCAGTCGGGCTGGCACACAGCAATGAAGTGAGGACGCAGTCTACCTATGGAGTACTTGGCAATGTCTGTCAATGACTGGCTAGCAGCTGCCCCAAAAATGAAGGTCCCAATGGCTTTGTAAATAGTGGCTATGTAGTTATTTCTGACAAACGAATTTGAGTGCAAATTATTATAAAAGACCGAGAGAGTTTCTCCTACGATTATCTGAAAAAGAAATAAGGATAAAAAGTTAAAGATAATAACATTAAAAGAAAAGTATTATGCTATTTTTGTTAATACTCACACAGACTGTTTCAGAAACGATTTTTTTATAAACATTAAGCTGCAAATTTAAGTTTTCCAAGAGTCAGCAATAACCATGTCCAAACATTATAAACACTTTCACACAGAAGAGAAACACCCTTTTACTTTCCCCTACCTCATGCTGAACTTAATCATATCATTTTCAGAATACTTATTAAAACAAAGCCTTCTCAGAATAACATTTAACCTTATTACTTGGTGTGGCCCTAATAAGAAACATTTTCTCCTGCAGAACTTCATTTTACATTGAGTCTTCAACTAACTTAGAGTGAGTAAAATTTTTCAAAGCTTGTTAGGCTTTTCATGAAATCAGAAACTGTTCTGAAGGGTTGAGACTTTATATCCAGATCTGAAAGGCCAGATGTTTCAACCAAGAAATTTCCTATTCCTCATGGAAATTAAATCCTTCGTGGAGAAAAAGAAAACTAATGAGGGTAGGGAAAGACAGGTCTTACTGAGGTCTTTCCAAGGATTTTTCACCCTACATGTCCAAGATACATGTATCAAGTGCTGGCAAGAAAGCAGATCTGATTTTATTTTCTTGCAACTTCATCCTTTGCAGAAAGTACATTTTTCCTTATGCCAAATACAGAACTTCACTCCAGATAATTTGGATGTTGAACCAGTTGGTCCCATTCTGTACAGAAAGGATCAGTTAATACAGATGATCAGATGTGTGGAGGACTGGATGTGTATATATGTAAAGTTACCTTGAAGAATCATGTAAAAATTAAAATTATGGCTCTGACTGTCACTTGAGATGCTGGGTCTTGGATCCCAGCAAAGCAGAGCTTTGGTGAATGAAGCCATCACTTAGACACTGCCACTCAGGCATACAGAGTGACAGCTTGTCCGGGGCTTTGCTCATGAAGGCGAACAGGCAATACTGCCAGATGGGTGACAACGAAGCTTTACACCCTCCGCCATACCCAAACATGGACTGAAGCAGAGAAATACCAGAACACGGACTAAAGCCGAGAAAGTTTTCAGTAAAGTACATAGACACCTAATCCAGAAAGTAACTTCTTAAGGAAGACGGCTGAGCACCAATAGCCATGACAGGTAAATAATGAATACCTTTCAAATAATACTGCTGCAAAACCTGCAAGAAGGTCACTTATCTCAGGTACCAAAAAATTTGCTGATGTTCGTGCAATTACTACACTGGACAGACATCAAAGAATATTCATCTTCAACAATCTGATTAAGCATTGAGTAAAGGACACCAGTATTTGCTTTTATCATCTGACTATGAAGTAATCTTGACAGAAAAGCCTGATTTCACAACTAAAAGATATACCCTGATGTTGCAAAAGGAACTTTAGAGATTGGGTTAATTCAAAGGGAATATCCATTACGAAAACTATATTTAGTGGAGCCTTTTCTGACTCAGGAGGCCCCTGAGCTGCAAATGGCTGGTAGCCAGGTACTGAGGGCAATACATCAATCTTCCAATGCTCTATTCTGTTCTTCCTCACTCAGCTGCGTTTTAGCTGCTCTAGAAATGAAATAAGCTATATGGGCTTAAGTTGTGACCAAGCACTGATGCTCTCAGGTAATAATGACTACCCAAAGGTAGAAATAGGATGAGAAAAAAATATTCTTATCTTGAAGGCAGGATCTTTAGCATATGCCGTTTGTCAGTTAACAAAACACATAAAACCCTCCCCCCACCCAAAAATTTCATCTGCTTCAGAAGCATTTCTGTAAGTTTTTGAAGCAGCTTTTCCAAGAAGAGGAAAACCAGGCAAGTCACAGCTTCAATTCTCAGAACATATTTCTACAGTTGCAAAAAAAGATTCCACCCGAAAGCAAATATGAGCTGAAAGTTGACCTTTATGCTGGAAACTTGATAAAAATCCATGCAGTCCCTATGCAAGGCAGAATTAGATTATTGTAATACCCATCCTGACTGAAATCCATTAGCCCAGAGAAACAGCTGGTCAATACTGAGATTACCTTTAGCGGTGCCTTTTCATTTTTGGCTCCTAAATATACTTGGATAAATATTTATATGCCTAAAAATCCTATTTGGCATAAGAAAGTTTTAACTCTGTTCAAAGTGTGGCTCTGATGAGTTTGGACGCCACCCAATAGAACCATCAGCGGAGACTGAAGCTTTTTAGCACACCTGGACAGGTATCTTGAGGCCCCTGTAGGGACTGCAGTGCAGTCCCAGCAGACTTAGGACATGAAATGGGAAACTGAAGAGGTCCAACTGTCCCCTCTGTTCCTGAGTACATGTCCCAGCTATTTTTTGCCCCAGCACTCCATGTAGTCAAGAAAACCTGCTGTTTTCTTCCAGGCTAAGGAATTTTACAAGCTGATCCTGGCTCAGACAAGCAACAAGAGGTGGCAACAGACTGGGTAATAGCGGGACCTCAACTTTTGTCCATACATAGTAAGATATTAGGTTAGCTCAGCTGACAGCATATAATTAAATATTAGGGATAGAACATCCCTATATGCTCGAGACAGTTCAGCTGAGCTAGGAGCTGTGGTCAGAGAGATCTCAAATTGGTAGTCACAGAGACAATCTGTCCAGCTCACTGATCTGGTGTAGAGAGAAGAAAAAAAGAAAAGTACCCTGTTTTCAGCCAGGGTATGTGTAGTATGAAAGAGAGCCCCTGCAGTATTTAAATACAAACGGGCCCAGAGTTTTATCCTGACCTTCAGGGAAATACCCAGGGAAAAACTCCACATCTATTTATTCTTTTTACTCTATTTATGCTTTTGATAACGTCTGACTGGAAACCATAATCTTTCTTTTAAATAGGCTAGCATCTGTTGTTACAATTCCACACACAGAAGTATTCCCAAAGATTTTGCGGCAGATAAAAATATTGACTTAGTAGGTCATGCACAATGATATTCTGAAAGTAGCAGGTCCTGAAATAAGAAGACTTGTGACAGTCACAACACATTAGTCTTATTTTCAACAAATATGTTAAGAAGTTTTTATCTCTCCGATTATGGAATTAAGCCACCCTATTTATAAGGTTCTAAGGTATTATTTTTCTGTTCTATAATTCTAGCTGTTTGACTTCACTTAAAGAAAACCTTTTAGTTATTCTTGCCAGACCACCATTTCTACTGCTTTAGCACCTGGCCTAAGGACATAGAATAGTTTTGCCAACCTGTATTAACAGATTACCCCTCCTCCCTCTTCCCCACCCCCACTGAAACCAAAAGCAATGAAGAAAAGTTTAACTTACAACAATTACACTGAAAGGAATAATTATTCCTGCTAACAATTTATAAGAAATGGTGTCCTCTTTGTATGGATACCGGATGGATTCATCACTACAGAAAACGCCTCTCTGGAAGGGGGTACGTCGTGAACTGAGAATTGCAAAAGGCAAGCCAGCTGCCAAAAAGGAATACAAAATACATTACAAAACCAAAACAAACTGGCAATGATCATACCCCCACATTTCCAAAGAGAAGTGCATAAAGAGGAATGAGCATGCAGGAAGTTAGACATTTATGCACTTCCCTTGGCCAACAACTACTGCCCTGACTTTGCAGCTTCCAGGAAGGATTGCTGAAAGAAGGAGAGCAAGGCACGATTCCTCTCATCTTCATGTTTGTGGCACTTCAAGTATGGAAGAATGCCAAAACCATGATGGAGGAAATAGTTCAGTGACAACGACTGAGGTGCTCAATCTGCTGCTACTGGCACAATTATCAAATTTTAATTTCCATTCCAGTGAGCAACAGCTACACCTGTACACCTTCTCTGGACAGCTTTCCAAGTCAGAAGAGCATAAATTGCATTGCATGAAAGCAGAAAAGGAGGCGCTTTCAAGGGAGTGCAAGTGCAGAGGGAATTTTTGGAAATATGGAGAAAAGGAAATTACACATGCATGCAATTCCCTCACTTCCTCACACACTAGAAGGACCTACAGTCTTAAGGCAGGGAGATTTTATTCCCACCTCTTCCACCAGAGAGGATGCCTTTGGCTTAATCTAATACCTACATGACACAATACTACACTGCACAATTCCGCACAGTATTGCATGTCAAGGTACCCACAACACAAACCAAAATTAGTCACTTGAACAGCAAAGGCTTTTTCAAAAAACTCAAAACAGGATGCAAATTACCATAAACTGGTAGAATCCCATTTCTAAATCCTGTTCTTCCATCGTTAACACACATACAACATCTGCACAATCTGTTTTGTGTACAGGATCTCTTGGAAAGAAATTGTTGTATGGAAAACAAGCAGTTGAGGACTACAAAGACTGTTTAATTAAAAAATAATCTTTAGCTTAGGCATGTAGAGCCAGTAGCATAAAAGCCCTTGACTTTATCCTCAAAATTCAGCTGTGTTGCACATAAAATGCTTACCACTTTAAAGTTACACAACAAAAATTATCTGGAGTTAATGCTCCCATCCAACACTAAGGAATCAGAAAGATAAAAACAGTCTCCATCCTTCCTTCCCAGCAGAAATAAATGTTGTTGTAGTTTCAGTTCTCTCCTCAAGACCTCTGTGCCAAGACATAGCCTCTCTCCCTTTCGAGATACACAGCTAGCCCCATAATAAGCATGTGCAAATAAAACTAAAGATGTAAAGAGCAGGAGAAGAAGTGAACAAAAAAAGATACCGAGCATCAAGAGATGTTAGGGAAGAGACCTAGGATCCTTTCCAATCCTCTTCCCTTTTTCCCTCCACCCATGAAGTCCTCCAAACTAAGCCTGACTCCTGGGACCATCACAAGTGATATAACTGGGATTTTACTAACAATTTGCTATCAGTTTTGTTCTGCACACCATAAAGTGCTTAAAAGAATACGTCAGCTTGAAAACAAAAGAGCAAATAAACTAATGGCTCAAAAGGTGATTATTTCCCTGAAGTGAACTCTGATGAATGACACAACCTTATTCCTTGATCAGACAGTTATATATAGGTCTATCATGTGGGCCCAAGCATTCCAACTAAGCCTGTTGCAAATAACCAGGTACCCTCTGTACTGCTGCTGTCATTAAACCAATAGCATGCAAAACCTCCCCTCCAAAAGTGCTAGAAAAGGACCACTGCCATTGTCAAGAGGGGTTGTTTCCAATTCCATGTCAACATGACTACAACTGACACATCTCTGGAAGCCATCCAAGCACACCCACAAAGCAGGAGGACAGCAGGATGGGCTAAGGGCCAAGCCAGAGCCTCACCAAAACACTGCACCATTCAGATACCAGCCAGCACTGAGCCTGGGAGCTGGACTCTGCAGCACAGTGCAAAAACACAGCCTTTCCTACTAGGAAAAAGCTCCTCTCCCTTTCTCTTAACAAGAAGAATATCAATGTTTTGGACAACACTGTGGATTATTTTTTCCCCTCTCCTTGTGTTGCTTTTGTGATAGATATAATTACACCATCAGCTGTTTAGAATTTAGGGTCAGGGTTGAGGCAGAAGCACATGCAGCCATGGTGAGGGAAGGTGACTTGTCAACATAATGCTGTGGTGTTTCCAACACCATGTATCCTACAAAATACATATGGAATGAAAATTTCATCATGTGTCCTGCACACATATCAACACCAACATTCCAGACTGAGTATTTGAGAAAAATGCATTGTTTGGACCTCCAAATGTAGAGAATTAGGCATATACAGATAGGAGTTTCTTAATTATTTACATGGTTACTTCTTTAGAGTTGGTAATTTTGATTATCATGGTAAAGCAGTTGTTCACAAATTAAGTTGAGCCCAAAAAAACCTTTTCACAGCTTCAGGGTGTTGCCACAAACACCTGTGGTTATAGCTAGATTGTGTCACTGGCATCGAATCACTAACTCTGCATCACCCATTTTAAAGACCTGCTCTGGGAATAATGCTGTCATGGTACCTTACTCCTCATTTCCTCTAACCCATACCTGGATGTTTCAGCTTCTCAAGGTGAGAGATTGAAAATTTCCAGAATGATGGGGTTATCTGGGGGGAACTTATTTAAATGTAAATTTCCATCTACTGAATCACAAATAAAAAGGTGGATCACAGGAATGAAGTCCCTCATGCAGTGAAGACCTGTGTTCTTCCACGCTGAGTGAAGCTGCTTGAAATGTGCATGCTCATTCTTCAGCAATATGGAGATTATGATGTGATTAGCCTGTAATTGCACCTTCCTGTATCCAGATCATGGAAACAAAATACCAAACAACTCCTGTTTTTTTTTGTTTTGTTTTGTTTTATAAGCAAGTATGAACAGCTAAAATAAAATTAGTGTCTTCTCTTTCATAATTTCTTCCCAGCACCTTTATTTTGAGTCTGAAAAGTTCTGAGTATCTATGTGGCAGCCATTAAGTAATCATTAATTGGAAGAGCTATGCACTAAAATATATAGTAAACATAACAAATCTTTCTTCAGTTTCCCCTAACTGCACAACAGATGCAAGAAGTAGTTCCACCAGTCATTTATCTTATTGCTGTTCTCAGCACCTTTCAGTGTTGAAAGGATACATGCTTTATGAAAGCTTGAGAGAAAAGTTTTAATTTCTAACCAGCAGACTACAATAAAACTGATCAGATTAACTTAACACTGTTAAACTGCAAACTTAAGTCACAGAATTACAGAATCTGTAATTTACCTCTGGCTTAAGTCATGGCAGACATTAGCCTATAAAACCATGCCTTTAGTAGGGGCTTTGGATATTTTTTGGATTAAAGTATCCTCCAATGTCAATACCTAATCCCTCAGAACATGCTCCATGGAGCAGGTTTAATTTACTTCTTTTTAACACGCATGGATTGACTTCACTATTATTAACTGATGGGAGAGAGCAGAAAAGTAGAAGTCAAACTAGAGGGGCATCAAGTGTTTCTGGCATGTGAAAACAGTAAGAGAACCATGTCACAATACTGAGGATTATTTTCTGTTTTAAATAAATCAAAGTCTGCTTTTATGGGTTTTCAAGGTGCTTTCATTTCTAAAATCAAATCAAAATTATTTGGAATGTATAGCTTAAGTATTTTCTGCAATGGAAGTTTCCCTTTAAGACAGTAAAGGGACAGGAAAAAATAGCTTTTTCATTACTGCAAACAGAACAAGCAAGCAGAAGAACTGTAATTAAGTGATAAAGAGAAAAAGCTTCTTACTACACCAAGTAAAACAGTGGAGTTTCCCTATTGTTGCGATAGACATGTAACGTTTTTATCCTGACAGATATCATAATTTCAGAAGACAGGGATACGTTTTTGCATCATGGTGGCAACTGCCTAAGAATGGAAGCTCCTAGTACAGGTGGACAGGATATGACTGAAGATAGCATACGATACTTGTCTTTACAATGGTACCACCATCACCAGTGTCAATGTCTTCACACAGATACAACTGAGGATAAAAATGTAGTATAGGAAGTGCTTTACTTTGACAACAGATTTATTCACATAAACATCTAAAGCATTTCTCAAGAAAAAGTAGAAAAGATTCAACAGCAGATAACTATGAGAAGAAATGCTGCTCATATGCCACAGTCACGTTGCCACATTCAGTTAAAAGAAAGGTCCTACAATATCCTACAAATACCCATTTTGCTCAATATTACCTGAGAGCAGAAGAAATTGGAGAGTTTAAGTACTCCTTTTATGTAAGAAGTGGAGACAGCAGAGGAGCAGTACAGGCTCTCTACTGAATATTTCTCATATGACAATTCCAAAAAGCTTCCCTGATGTACACTTCCATCTTCTAAGCTAGTTGTAATACAGTGAAGAAATTGCCTAAAGGGAAAATGACAACACGTATGTGAGGAGGAATTATATGGCTGGGAAGAGGTTACCTGTAGGGTAATCTCAAGGATAAAGCAAACAAGCTGGTGTTATGCAGTGCATGTGCATTCTTAATGAATAACTAGCAGATGTACTGCTGACAGAGCTGGCAATTCTTTGATACAGTGGAAAATCAAGGCCAGCCAGTTCTGCCTGCAAAACAACCCTTAAAGACTGAGGCAGGAGAACATATGGAGATTTGTGCAGTAATGAGCTAGGAGTCATGCATTTGGAGGTTAAGCAACTCTGTTGATTTGGGAGCTCGTCAGTTCAAACTAGCAGGGGGAAAATAATATACTTCTTGTGGTTTTTGTTTATCAGTATAATAGTGTGACCATTAGGCAAGTCTTTTCAAAGGCATTAACACTTCTAACCCATTTGACAATAAATTTCCTCTGAAATAGTATTCAGTCAGAATTGGCAAACGCATTTATGTGTTTGGTTTCATCTGTCTTAAGTGCAGACAGAGAAGGACTGCTAGGATACATTCCTTATTACTTTAAAAACAAGAGTTTGGTTTTGCATAGTTCAACAGAGTCTAAGGGCTATAAATCAGCCAAGTGCATACACAGTAGATATTAAAAAAAGTGCAATACTGATCCAACAAGCAACCAAGAATTAAGGAACTACAAACACAATCAGTAATAAAGGTATAGGGAGAAATGCAGGCTCTGAAATGTTTCAGCCAGAATACATGGAGTAGAAACACAAGTAGCTCAACTGATAAGACTACATATTTTAAACAATTACTATACCCATGTCCAAAGTGTGACTCATACAGTATAATGGATTAGATTTCCTCATAAGCTGGAGTGATTTCTGACTGATTATGTTATGTTTTTTTCCATAAGTATCCTGTATAACACAGGTCTATTTCTGTCCAAATTTCTAATCTTGGTTAGGTTTCTTCACTGGGCATGAAGTTGCTCTCTCCACTAAAGCTGGACACATTACCACCCTGAAGAGAACGTCAGATTGTACACCTCCCTCAAGTCATCCTTCCCACTCTCCTCAGGAAGGATATGATAACCTTGGCATTTATCCATGCTGTATTTCACCAGCTGTGTTACTGCCATATTTTGTATTTGTTGCTCTGAGCTCCCTACTTTGCTGCCTCACTGCACACGCTCTCTCTCCTCCAGGGCATTTATGACTACACTGAACAGGGCAGACTCAGAGAGCTCTCTACTTGACATCTTCCTTCCTTGCAAAGGACAAGGAGCACTTACTCCTACTGCTCACTTCTCACTGTTAAGTGAATTGTTTGTTCATTTCAGGATTCTTTCTCCAATCCCATAACTATTTAGTTTCTTAATATTTGGTTGAAGTAAACATTTGAATATACACATCTAAATAATGAGATTTTTCTAAAAGAAAATGCTGCTTTGGCCTCAATTCCCCATCTTCCTAATTTATCACACGGATTAGGATAAGAATAGATGTGACTGACACCAGGAAACAGTGAGTATGTTTCTGACAAAGTGGCTTTCAATATCTGTGCTTAAATAATGGGTAGTAATAATCTTTCTCCAGAGTTCTGAAACAAAACAAAATTTAAAAGATTTTGTTGTCTTCTCTCCCAGCACCTGAAAAAACCTTGCCACCACTTTTGTGCTGTTATTTACTGCCAACTTCACTGCTGTAGCTTTAAACTAGAAGTCATACCTGGACTTATTTTTTAAAAAGCTTAAGTAATATTTTGAGGTTTAAGTCTCTTTACAGTTCAGATACAAAGTAAAGGTTAACATTTCCCCCAAATATGCTGTAGATACTGCATTACTAATTCCATCAACAAAAACATCCACAGTATTCATTACAACATTATAAATACTGCCTGGAAAAACACATGTTTTGTGCAAGCTTAGTTAAAACTTTTGAGCTGATATTACTGTTCACATTCTGTGAAGGTTGGTAGGGTGTCAGAACCTCTTTGCAGACTAAGTTAAGACTTTGGCTTCTCCACAGTATAAGAACAGGGCTACTTTCCATTTCCATAGGAGTTTTAGAGTTCAGGAGAGCACCTACCAAGAAATGAACCATCACTCCACAGATCACTAAGTTCAATGGTTCCATTTTTTGACATTCAGCTTTCTCCTGAAAAGGTGGGTAAAAACCATCTCTTTGCATGAGCATTTCCCTGACAAGGCAGAAGAGAAAGAGGTACAATAATGTGAGCCAGATGAAGGGAAACAGACGAGGCAGCACAACAAGGAACACTCTCTGCCTTACTTTCCCTGTTGCTTGTCTCTGGTTCCTAGTTGAGTTGCTTCCCTTTTTTGACACCCCCTCCAGTCTCTGATCTCAGTCCTAAATGTCAACAGTACAATATTAGTAACTGTGTATCAGACCTAAGAGAAAGAAAAGTCTATGCCATGGTCTGTTTGGGTTTTGGGTTTTTTCCTTAAGTTACAAGATTTAGGTAAGTTGCAACTCTGGCTACCTACATTTCTCCATACGCCCTTTTACCCTTTTGAATACTCTTCTAAAAAATACCTTAAAGCCCCCTCTCTACCAGCATGACGGCTTTCTCATAGCTGTGATCAAGCTTAACTCAGCACTTTAAAGGCCCTTGTCTGGAGTTCCTCCCACTGTCTTGCTCAGACACTATGTGCATTCTCCACCACTGTACTAAGAAATGTACCTGAAGGGCTAAGGAAATACAAGTCCACAGGGCTAACAAGCAAGTTGCTACAGTTTATTTACTTAAAATACAACTGCACTTAGTATATTTGTAAAAATAACAGAGGCATGGTGCTCCTCAGATCTTTTCTCACCTGATTTCAAGCCCACCAGAACACCCACACCACAGACACATCAAAAAGTGAAGCCAAAAGCTGGGTGCTTCTACTTCTCAACATCTGGACCCACAGCACTGATCTCAGCCAGGAATTACTCATCAATTCAACAACTCAATAAAGTGCATTACCCTGACATTAAACCTTTACAGAGTAAAACAATGGATTCTTATTACTATGTTGGCTTTAAAAAGAGAACCAAAAAATTAGCAGTTTATTACTCAGAATAAGGTTGGGTTCAGAGATAATGATGATCTGTAGTAGTACAAGATGAACAGTTAGTATCAAGTAGAACTTATGACAGATTATGAAGTTCAACAGCATTGCCCAAAAAAGTTTCCAATGCCATAAAACCAAAAAACACAATTAAGTTAAAACCTTTTCAAGAAGTTTACCAGGTAAGAGGCAGTCTTGCTCAGAGCATAATAAAACCTCTTACAAGTAACCTGAAACTCAAAGAGTCAGGTTGAAGTCCACTCTAATGTTGAACAAGAGTTTTAATTTCAATTAGTTGAAAAACTAACGAGAGTGGGTCATAAAGCTTTGACACTGCTGAAAAAGTGAAAAGCACATCTACCAATCAGGTTTTGCTAATCCCCTGATTTATTAATCTCATCACAGCAGTAACTACATTTGTCCATGAAGGCATACAAAATTAACTCAGTAAGAGCTTATATTGGTCAATCTAATGAAAGTTTCCCTTCAAAATTCATCCCTTCCATAAACAGCATAAAAGATCAGTTTCTTTTGCCATAAAAGAAATAAGTAAATTGCCTCCAAAGTATGATTGTGCTAATCTGTAGGAGGGAAAGTTTAGACATTATTGCACATGCTATAGGCAGACATTCTCAAAAACATTAAGCCTAATGCCTAAAATGTTAAAGCTGGCACAGGAGCAAAGCTACCTAGATCCCTTTTGGGAAGTCATAATGATACAGAAGACATTTTGCCACATCAAACCTAGGAATGTTTTGATTCAGCCTTTTTTTGTTGTTATTTTAACTATTTAGAAATCAATGTAATCTAACTACCCAGATATCTTTTGATTGGGTTCAAGGTGGAGAAATTAGGTCCTACAGGCCCCATCATGTTTCCTTCTCTCAAAGAAGGTCCAAAGAGCAGTGCTTTTCCCAGAGAAGTGACTTAACCAAAACTCTTTTTACTAATGAACACTTCTCTGTAAGGAACATCAGCATTTGCATTACTTGTTTTGGTAGCAACAAGTTGTGGAAAACTACTTTGTCTCCCAGAAATTCAGTGCAGGCCTTTGGCTGAGTTACAATTTCTGAACTCTTCTCTCTACATCAGTCCATCAAGTAATAGAAACTGACCAGTGGCTTGTGAGCCTTCAGCTCTGTGACAGAACTGCCAAGCAAAGCCTTGGCAGGGAGAAGACAGAAATCCTAGAACAGGGAGCAGACAACTCAAAAACTCTCAGGTTGCTCTGTTTTCTTTTGCTCTGGTGAGAAGGATGTTTTTTTCAGAGAGGTATTCCTTATTCTGTGCTTTCCCCTCCCCGCATTTCACCTACCCCTGGAGCTAAAGCAAACTGCCTAAGTGTCACTAAAGGTAGCAATCTGAAGAAACAAGATGACTGGAGGGGGGGAAAAAAAATCAGTTTGGATGTAAAGTTACCAGAAAAGCCAAACTGAACGGGACACCTACAAATAGACATGGCAGGAAAGAGAAAGAGATATTGACATTAATTTGTCATTTACACTTGAAAAAGTTGGTCTCATGGAGGCAACTGAAGACCAAAATTGCCAGACCAAGTACATTTCCAACTCTTCCTAGAGCTGCAAGCTATGGACATTGCCTAGTCATGGCTTTTAAATTACACAGAATTACTATCTATCTAAAAGACTTGGTAAGATAGAAGTATCAAAAATATCTTCTGGGGTTCCTTAAATGTTAGATCTAATGAATGTGCGATGTTCTAGACACTGGCCTAAGCCATCTAGAGAGAGTCAGTCTTCTAGACCATTACCAAGACTTGTCTGACCCTAAATCTCAAAAGATTCTAATACAAAAATTGTGGTTCCCATCCAGACAAAGAACAATTTGGAAAATTGAGAAGCATCATATTAAGAAGTGGCACTTGGAAAAGAATAAACATTAATTTCTCAAACATTATATTTCCTAAAAGGTGGCAATGGCAACACAAAGGGTTCAGGCTACAAATAGAATAATGATTTGTAAGAGTATTTTATTTTTTAAGATTCCTGAGTTTCTAGCACATCTTGTAAATCTTCATAAAATGTCATAAAAACAAATTCCTGTTCATGCAACCTAGTTTCTTTTATGTACAAGAGATTTAATAAATATCATCAATAATATTAATAAAATATTTATGTATTTTTGGGGCTTTTTGGGGTTGAGTTTTTTCTCTTTGAAGTTATTTTTATATTCATTACAGGTCTACCCCAACAAAACCTTTTAGCATTATAATTATTATTATACAGCAAGATATTCAGGCCATTTCTTATTACATTCTGAAGACAAGCAGGCCTATTGTGCAACAAGGGCATATGCCTAAAGGGTCATACCACTTAGGAATGGGTATCATGTTTCATGTAATCTGATTAGAGAAGAAAAATCTGTACAAAAGTGTAATTTATCAACTCTAGATGAAATTTTTGTCATCAATTCCTTCATTGAGGATTCTGTCCATTTCAGTAAAGTCTCATGTCACAACAACAATTTTCACTAGATGTGGGATAATCAGAGTTATTGCCCAAAAGTCTTTCATGAGTGAGCTGTGTTCCTGTTGATGGTATTGAATCTGGAACACACTAATTTCAAAAACTTAAACCGCCTTGGAAAAAGTCTCAAGCCTCCAGTGAGTCAGATCAAAACAAAAAACATTCCGAATTCAGATTCTCAGACTGATCAATTTTCCCTGTCCATTTTGAATAAAGGCAATCTTGAAGAGATAAACCATTCAACTAGAACACACTTTCAATTCAGAGTTGTAATATTCCATGTCTCATACTCCCTAGCTGTACAGCTTACTCTTGCCCTTAGTTTTCAGCAGCTATGGAAAAATTTTCACCTTTTGCATGCAAATAAAGAGCTCTCTATATCTGAAACTGAGATTAAGAGAGCCAGGTTAACATGTTAACTACATTGAGCAGTTGCTTTAAGGTTTGGGAAACATTCAGACTGAAAAGTGAATGACCTGGTTAGACTGTACAGTAACAAATGTAAGTGCTCTAGAACTTTCTTTTTTAAAACCTCTCCTGGAGGTTTTAAAACATAGAGACTAGAAGTGGTTGTTCCAATTATAAACTCCAGCCTCCTGCACAAAGACTAGCAATGAAAACCCACTGTGTAACTCCTATAAAAGTATCATAGCAGAAAAATATCAGAATTACTGACATCTAATTTTAAGCTGTAACTTTCACTACAAAGGTACCTAAAATTATAATAGCCCATGTTACTCTTTAAATGTGTAGACTTTTATGTGCATTACCTCTAAGTCAGACGTTTCTCCATGGCCTTAGAGCCAAGAAAAAAACACACCCTCCACTGACTTTATATTACAGTAACACCTTCAAATCTAAAAATAAACAATATTTAAAAAATCAAGCAATTCAACAGATTATTGAACTGCAGCTAGAACATTTCTTTAGAAGTCTAAAAGTGCTTCTTCAGAGCTGCAATTGTTAGTTCACCTGTACCCATATCAACCAAGGTACACAGGGAACCTATTGGAAAATAAATTTTCCCAAAGGTGTGCTGAATATATATATCATACTTGTCAAAGTGACAAGCTTTCCTTAAAAGTGAAACTACACCAGAGATTACTTGTTATGTCAACCTCCTATTTACTACACAGGCCTAACGGAGGCTTTAATGAATAAGCACTAATGGGAAAACCAGAGTAATGCATGCAGAAGTTCTACATGCTCATTTGTTTTAAATTACTGTCTTCCATCCTTAAACCACTTCATGTACTTCTTACTGATTAATTAATCTTACACATTTATCAGATATTTATCATCATCTTTCACATAGCTTGATCAAGTATTGCAGGGACAAGTAAGTTGTAGCTTCAGGTTCAAGACTATTCGGCACTGTTAAATTTTGATTCTCCAAATCAGCTCAAGCCTTACTAAAAACTGGGATACAAGCAGGCTTAAAATATTGTTAGAAAAAACTAGTGAATAATTAAATTGTTCTTTGTCAAAATCATGTGGTCTTTAAAACACTGAGCCCGTTTTCTACAAGCAATTAGATTTTCAGTTTCTGTAGCCCACTTTATCCCACTCTTCTTTAACGAGTAATCACATTACTTTCAAGCTTAACAAAAGCTTTCAAGTCAAAACTAGGCTTATTTTTAGAGAAACTATATGGTTGCAACAGTCATCAGTTATAGGTGCGTACACTGCATAACAGTGCCAAGTTTTAACATCACAAGCATTTAAATAAGCAGACTAACCCATTCTGAACAAGAGATGTAATCATTCCATAACATTTTGGAAGACATTTTTCCCCTCTAGCGAAAAAGCCTAGTCTAAATACGCTTTTTTCTGCTCCTAAAACAAGTTAAATTAGCAGTCAGATTAGTTCCAGATCTTCTGTGCAAACAGTATCAACAGCACCTTTAACATGCATATGACTATATATATGGGATTTTGCCTATATAGACTGGTCTTCAACTCATTTGTAGTGCTGAGCTCTTAGAAGGCATACATTTTACTCCCATCACCAAAGCTCCCTATATATTAGCTACTTACAGAAAAAATGGGCAGGGTGAACCCCACTGTGTAGAGGACAGTGGATGTGATGGTACTGTCATGGAACGGATACTTGATGCTGTCATCATTACAGAAAAAGCCTCTCTGATACGGCTTTATTTTGGCCAAGTTTAGAACACCAAGGGGTAAGCCAGCTGTTGGGGGAAGGAAAACAAAAAACAAAAACAAGAAATACATGTGGTTAAATCAAAAAAAAAAAATCATTTCTAATCATGCATGGAGGAAGCTATCAAACATGCATAACTCAAATTTCCTAAGTATCATGCAATGCACACACTTACCAAATTCTGTTTATAGACACTTCTCTTTCAGAACATTACCTCAGAAGGACTCTGAGGTTACCCATCAGGTACAGGTGTTTAAAAAAACCACAAAGTTTAAAGCCTTCCATCTGTAAGGCGAGCTGCCATAAAACCACACCGAACCAAGATTACATTCAAGAAAGCCTTTGCCCCTCACATGACTAAACAGTTATTAAGGGCAGACAGCCTTTTAGAAAATAAAGGCTCCTCCTCCCTCTTCCACTACCCCACAACCTCAGCTTGTATCTGATTTTCCAGCCTTTTTATATACACTATAATGTGGTCAGTGTTTACAGATAAGACAAAGAATAGGCACAGGTTTTGTCATGATTAGGGAGTTAAAAATTTCATGCAAGTAGTTTTCATGCAGGTAATGGGAACAAAAAACTGCAGGGACACTAATGGACACTTTGAATGGATTGCATCTCCAGGTAATGAGATTATACCTTGAGATTGCATTTACACAGCTTTTGTACACTTTGGAAGATTTCTGCATTAAAATATACAAGTTATTAATATTGCAGCTAAGACCTGGGTACAAATTATAGCTCTCTGAATTTACACCGTGTGATGTATTACCAATTCCCTCTCTTACAAGTTAACTTGCATTACACTGATAGTCATGCAAGAGAAGCCATCCAAACTTCTGATAATTATATTCAGGTCTAACTTATTTCTGATAAGAACCATGTGCCATGTAATATATATTTGCAGGAGCAATAACATCAGGAAATCAAATTTTTTATTTTACTTTCTCATAAAATCTAAGGTTGGAAAGGATCTCCCACATCATCAAGTCCAGCTTTTAGCCAAGTAACACCATGCTCACTTTATCACTTTGTTTTGATCAGCTGAGTAACCAATAGATTAAAGTGGGTAAATTACATAACGCTAAATCCCCAAACAAAACAAAAAGTAAATTTTGTTTTAAAATATGGTAAAAATGGGCAAATAACTGTATTTTCCCCAAAATCCATGAAATACGCAATTCTGCAAATAGACTTTCTATATGTAAATTAGAGGGTGAGTGCCACTACTGAAACAGAAAAAACACTACTTAGTATATAAACAGCCTGCTGTACTGAGAACAAAAAACATCTCAAAAAAGTTAACATGATGAGTGATTCTGATTTCTATTGACACCTGTTGACTACCAGGTAAGTAGCCTAAAGGTGATTAAAGTATACTTATTGCTATGTACTTCATTAGAAGAAAAGACATCAAGAGCGAAACAGTAGGAATAGTGTGATAATATAGTTCCTCTTCCTCACAAGGAAGCAGACGGGGTGTATTTTAAATACTCTTATGGAGCAGAGGGAATTTTTTTTCACAAATCCTCTGAAACATGAAAACTGTCCACATTACTGATGCTTACCATCCCATATAGAAAAAGTGAACCAAAATACAAATGGCATTAAGCTTATTCAACTTCAAGCACAAAGTTTTTCATTATGTAGCATGGTATACTATTGAATCCACCACCTCTCAACAGTCTCTCTTCTTTCTTCTGCTTTAATGATGAGACAAGAGCTGAAGCTTGACTATGCACAAGTGGCAGACAGAAGCAGATGAAACAGAATTGCAGCCCTTCAAACCTGAAGGGAGCTACACTGAAGAACTCAGAATGTTCACACTGACCACAGGGATTGCTGTATGTCTGCATGCCTGGAGCCAAGTTTCAGCTCCTCTCAAGGCCATGGCAAGATTCCACCAACATAATGTAGATTCCATGCTTCCTGTCTTTACCTTGGTATGGCTGTTGCATACCGAGCAGGATGACAGAGTGATAATCCCATTACCTATTTGATCCAATCATATCTTCTCAAACAGGTCACCAGATTTTCACATATGGAAATATGACATTCTCACGATTAACTTAAGCAGCAGCTTGTTTTGCATAAGTGGACTACTTCACAGACATAAATACCTGTCTCCCACAAAAAGCTGCTACAATCTATTATCAAGAACTGTAACACAAAGAACTTTTGACCTGGGAAGGAGGAAAAATGAAAAGCAGCAAATAAAGGGGTCAGATGAGAACAGTTTCAAAGTGACTACAAAACTCATCTGTATCAGCTACATTAAAAGAACACAAAAAAACCCCAAAGTTGGTTACACATCTTACACTAACTGCCCATTGCCATTTTTTTTCATCACTGTTAAATTCTTAATGCAATCTAAATGATGCACTGCTTTCCAACAGGACTAGAAGATTTTGTGAAGTGGTATTCAGTTGGTCATTAACCTATCCCAAACAGTGGCATCATTTTTACTGCTGCTCATTTTACAGGGAGAGAAGATGAGACATAGTACATGTAAGCAAACAGTCCTGAACTTTTTGTTGTAAGCAGAAAAAAACCCACTGCTAATGTACAAACCATGCCAGTACTGCTATCAGAAGTGCCAAGGATCTCCATGACCTTTAAGCAGGCCGAACTTCTGAGATATGCACTTATGTTCAGTCACATTAGCTTCTACAAACTGGAGCAAAGAGTGACCAAGACCTCATGCAAGATCACCAGGATAAAAGGCAATCCTGTAGACTGTAGAGCAGTTCTCATGCCTTATCCTCTGCTCACTATACCTTCTTTGCCTTTATACCCAGCCAGTACCAGCAGTAACCTCAAAGTGCTCTTCTGAACCAGGTAACTTTATACCTCAAGGGTTCATAATGGCTTAGTTGTTATTCATACCCTATAAAGCATGACCTTCAGCTGTAAAAAGACTATTACTTGAAGTCACCATCATTCCGACTGGAACATATTAGAACTGGATTTAATCTACTCTCTGGTAAAAATTATGCAGTTTATCTTGTCAAGAACTAGTGACCAACAGATTCTGGGTTGTTCTGCTAGTAGTAGCAGACAGCAGTCCTCTGACCTTTCTCTCCCCTCTAATTATAAAGAGAAAACAACCTGGTCACTCCAGTTGTGTGACTTAAAGAAGAAAGGACTGACTTCTGCAGTGCTCACACAAATAGACTCTAGCTAACCCACAGACCAGGCTGTATGGGGCTTGGAGCTACCTAGTCAAGTGGAAGGTGTTCCTGCCCATGGCAGGCGTATTGGAAGGAGATAATCTTTAAGATCGCCTCCACTCAAAATATTCTATGATTTTATAACCCTGAAAGCTACAGATGAAGTAACAAAGGCGAACAGGAAAAGAGACTCCAAAGATTTGAAGCCTTTGCCTATAAAAGAAAGGTAAACAAGTTTCATACATATGAATAAATAAAAAAACCCCACAGTAAAGAGGGAGACAAAGGTGAGAACAATGCATGAATTACTCAGCACAGATTGCAGGGGTGGGAACAGCCTCTAAGTTTTGGGCTAAAATGGTAAGAACAGGACAACATTTGTACAGTTGCATGAGGTACTCTGAGTTCACAAGGAGTTTCCAACTCTAATTTGTAGGTCCAAGCCAGTTGCAGTGTAGTTTCCACTGACAACCTACAAAAATTCACAGTAATACACATAGCCTCCAGGAACTATTTGATCACATCTGACTGGATGACATAGCATGACAAATGCCTGTAAGAAGGGAAGGAAGGGAGGTCCAGGCTAGGAGAATAGGGAGGAAGTCCATGTAGAATGGTCCTCCGCCCACAGAAAAAGAATGTTAAAAATAAAATACCAGTACCCAAGGGGGTAAGATGAATTGTTCTTTTTCCAAAGGAAATTTGCTTAATCCAAAAATGTTGATTTACGATGTTTTTAGTGGACTTTTATAAGAGTAAACAAAAATAAATTATATTTCACAGTTTATCCTACAAATTAAAGTGATTAGTATCACACTGGTAATTTTAGAGTTAGGTGCTTAAGCTTAGAGTCAGATTCTGAAGACTTCCAGCTGTCCATATAGCTTTGGACATTTTCTTAAATGTTTTTCTTAAACGAGAGAAAAGCATTTAGAGTCCAATTAGTTGCCATAAATATTTAAGATCAGCAAAGAATATTACTGTTTTATGTCTGAAAGGAAAGAAATTCTTAAAGATTTAACCACTTCAGCAATACTGTACTACCTAGCTCTCAACTAGAAGCAGTGCTCACAAAATTTGGCTCAGCCTTCAAGAACAACCCAAGACAATCTAGACTGTCCTGTCCTTCTCCCACCTCTGGCCATCCCCCACTACCCCTTTCTTGCCTTGGCATTAGTTTTCACACCAACGTGTCCAAAAAGACAAGCCCACAGCCACACAACACTGTTTTCTCAGAGCCACTTGCTCATCTGGCCAACCGTATTACTCTAAGAGCTGGCTTAAAAGATAGAGTGAGAACATGTAGCCAAGGGTGTCGAATAAAAGACAAGGACAAACTGGGACAGATCAGCTTCAACACCTTATGAAATTGCATTTTCATCAGTGGTGCATTCCTTCCCACAGTTTTAAACAGTACAAAGGAATGCACTGTATTTTGTAAACACAGGTTAATTAACCCATTTGGCCTCCTTATCTGTGCAAGTGACTGAATCTCCACTTGAGGTTCTGTGCAGTCAAACTCACACTGAATTGCTGTTTCAAGTCCTCCAAGGCAATATTACTCTGTACTCCTATCCTGTCCTCAATCAGGAAGTTTCTTCAACAAAGCAAATTAATATCTAGGAACTGGGAGAAAGGCAGTTACTCCTAAGGAATACTACAGTAAATGAGAACATTCTAACTTGATTATTAACCAAAGTATTTTCTTCATGCTGCAATGAACTCGTAACTAAGTGTTAATTAAGAGAACCTGTACTGGAATAACATAAGACTGAGAAGGGTTTTTATGTTTCTCTACACTTACCCTGAAGAATATGATCAGTACACCCTGCACTTGATATACTGACAAAATCGGCTTCATGTTTTGTAAAGAAATTCACAGTTTATAGTTAGGGAGTGTCAAAAACCAATTCTAGCTGTACCAGAGAAACCACAAAACACATTTAATTATATCCCCAAAACAGATGAGCTACTTTTTGCAGCTTACATTCTTATTAGACAGATTATACTGTTAATAACCCCACAGAGTAATTTCAAGCTAAACCTATACAGCTGTCAATTGCTACCAAGAGCAAGAGAGAATTTAAGTCATCCTGCTCTTACACATATATTTTTGCTTTTAGTTTCAGACAGGACAACTATGTTGTCTTCACTTTTTATTTTTCAGTGTACGATCTCATGTGAGGAAGTAGGCAAGAGATCTAAAGAAACTCAGGTCAACTTCATGCTTCTGGAGAGAGTTTGGAAACATCTGTAAAAAGTACTGCTCTCTGCAGAAAAGGAGACAGGCTGAAATTTTTTTTCTATGAACAGTCAAGAGAAAGAATCAACACCTTAAAACAGGAGGTTCTGGGAATACAAAACACTACCAAGAAGAAGAAGAAGAAATTTAAATAAAGAGAAAATATTTAGACTTTTGATAACTAGAGGTAAGAAGTGTACAAGAGAAACATCAGTGCACTATTTGCAGTAGCTGAGACAGGGTAGCCCACAACTTACCTCCTAGCCACTTTAAAGAACTTTATCTTACTTTTCTACACTAAGGAATGTGAAGTATTTCTAATACCAGCAAACTGATTGTTCTGATAATGCCAGAAGCTGTGATAAGCTTCAGTAAACAGGATACACGCATTTAAAAGCATGAACAACATTCTAATCTCTCCTGCAATTCTACTTGCAACTTTATGCTATGTACATTTTTATTTGTCCTCTGATCTATAACTTGGCCAGGAGAGAAGCCAGATCAGCAATTGAGCAAGTTCCTCACCACTTTTTGTTATGCCAGGCAAGGGTGATGAGGGCAGGAAGCAAATTAAACCTTCCTCTGAGATCAAACAGTCTCAGCACAAGCAAATTCTAGTCCAGTCATATACTGAGACACAACTACATCATATTCCAGTTTCTCTGCATTCAGCAGTCTACTGCATGTGAGCATTAGTTCAGTTACCTGTAGTCCAAATTAATTAGGACTAAAACATTTAAAATGTTTAAAAACCATAGCATGGACAAGTGTGTTCTCCCTTATATCTACATTTCAATTTTAAAAATTGACTTTTACAAACACTAAAAGAGGTTGCTCTAAAACCCATGCAACTAACTGTGAGCACTTAGGGAAGTGCAAATGCAAATTAAAAAATGCAGAAACAAGACAGTAATATACCCTATCCTGCTCTATTACTTAGAGGAGCATACACCAGGACAAGTGAGCCAACTGGAGGTTGCAAGCAAAGACTGTGCCCTGGGCTCTGCTCTGGACAGGGGGGAAGAGGAGGCTGAAGCTGGCCCAGGGATGGACACACACCTGGAAGTCATTAGCAGTTCACCCAGTTGGCTGAGGCCAACTGCTCCATTACTGACAGACCTGAAAACATTAAAGACCCCAGACTAACAGCTAAAAGACATTGTGGGGGCAGAGAAGGGATAGAACAGGAGAGGTCAGCAGTTTTTTGTACTGCAGTTCTGCTCAAGGGGTTTGTTACTTATAGGACAAATCCAGCTGGCTGTAGCCAGAGCAAAGGGTGACTTCTCCCACTAGAACCCCTCCTCTGTAGGGGAAATGAAATATTTCCTCACTGCTTGCAGTATGTGCTCAGCACCAAATTCAGTTAAAGGCTTTCATGGTACTGTATGGAGAATTAAAAACAATGTACATGCCCCTAAAGATGTAGATTTCTGCACACAATCCACCTAAATCACAGAACTTACAGACCAGGACAGCAGCACAGACAAAGAAACTGAACTGTCAAGCCAGACAGGGAGGGTTTTGCTTTCTTTTAACATAGGTGACACCAACTCTGAATGTCATTCAAGACTACTTCTCTTTTAAACACCAGAAGTTGTAAATATTTTCCCATTTTCATCATTGTTTTGTGGGAGTGCACAGCAGGAGGCTTTCAGAGTATTTCAGCCTACACACCCTAACTTGAAATACCATTCAGTCTCTAGAAATATAATAGGCCATTAGTTGTCTAATGAACCTAAAAGCTCATTTTCCAATGAATCCTGCAAGCATAACAGTATTTTATTTAAACAGTCTTTAATAAAGTCAGCAGTGCTACAGAGGGACCTTGAATTTCCATGACGTTGTACACCCCGTCATACACCACAACGTCACTTTACACTGTACACACTGCTGCATGCCACCATGTCTAAGAGAACAGAACTTCATTTTCATGTGACACTGTATTCTGTAGTGTCTAATGGTACACTGTAAGAACAAACTCTATAAAAAGCTCAATCTAAACAGATTTTAAAGGAAAAAGAGACCATACCCCATATATTCTTGAGCTATCAGAGCAGTTTGCTTTGTACTGATTCAGGAGACTGCCCCAAAAGTCCATTACTTCAGAATCTGGAAAAAATATTTATCCAACATTGCTTTTGACATTTGAATACAATGAATAATGCCACAGCATAGAAAGTTTTACAGTACATATAATAGACCAGGTGCTGCTTTCCATTTGTAGTAGAAGTTACCAGCATTAGATTTGTGATCTCAGTTTCTATGCATTTAAGGTATATAATTTTCTAGTGTTGATGACTGGACTCTTACATTTAAAGAAGAGATGGGAAGAATGAAAAGAGTCTGCATGCAGAAATAGTGACCTGACTTGCATTCCCAGGATCTCCACTAGTGTTAGACCTAGCCATCACACTGGCTTGCAGTATTTTAACTGAATACTAGTACGGCAGCATAGGCTTACCTAAGCACATAAAATTGAAGCCCAGTTTCCACAACTCGGCAAAAACTACAAAAAACCTCACTCAGTGGAACACCAAGGAAAGCAGACACTAAGTAAAATGATGACTGAGATGACTTTTGGAATTTAATAGAGAATAGTTTTTGACAGGCTAAATCTCACTGTCTGCCTTCTGTACTCCTTAAGGGCCATGAGCTTGCTGCATATGAGACGTTTTCCCTGGTTATAATTAGCAGTTTACTCTCTCAGGTCTTTCCACCACCAGCTTCCAAACCACCCCTTCAGCTTAAGATACACACAGTTCACTGCCCTTCCATGCTTGAAAACAAGGCAGACAAATTTAGACATATTCATTTGCCTTACCATCCCAGTACTCCAGTTTCAGAAAATATTGCACCTATTGCTTAGTTTCAGTGACTTAGCAACCTAAGACTTCTTGGCAATAACAGAACTAAGTTAAATGGGCAAAAATGCATTAATATTAATTTGAGGTTAAAATGTCACTGTATTCTAAGAGAGGCAGAAGTCACCTGAGGTGCTAAAATTTGGTAAGTAAATCCTTCTACACTAAGGCAAAAACTAAGCCTAATTCCTGTTTGGTAGTTTTCTCCTTTCCTAGGAAAGTGATCACAAAAAATTTGTGACCCTTCTTCCAAACCAGGCATGGCTAAGTAACAAACTGAAGCTACCTTATGAGACCCAAGGAA